GGCCTCTTCGGCTGCAGGTAGGGCCTAGAGTTCTGCATCGTCTAGATGAACAAGATACATTCAGCGAGGAGCCAGCTTCCTGGGTTCGTGATATTTAGGGTTTAGGGCTACGGTTAAGGGTAAGGGATGTAATTTAAGCTACCATAATACAGAAACCATCTGATTTACTACAGATCCCTTATTATGGTAACTTAAATTAAATCCCTTAACAAGAACCCAGCTTTGGCAAACCCGGTTCTGTCAGGGTTTCAAGCTCCTGGAGTCCGGGGTTGGGGTTCAGGGATCGGGGTTAGTTAGGGTTTGGAGTCTAAGAGATTTGGGTTTTGGGGCATAGGGTTTAGGGTTTAGGCGTTAGGGGGAGCTACACCCCAAACCCTAAACCGTCGTGGCGGGGTGCGAAAGGTGGGGCTAGCGGTCGGGAGTGAAGTGTCTAGGAAAACTGGGTTTCGGGACTTTAACTTTAGGTGGCAGCGTGCCTCCAAACACCAACATATTCCGAAGGCCTGGGCCTGTGGCGAAAACTGAGACTCGAGAGAACAGGTAAAGCCCCAATCCCTAAAACCCTAAAACCCTAAACTCTGACGGAGACTCTAACGCCCTAAAACCCCCAAACCAACCCCCTTGGGCCCTTGTAGCAGCCCGGAAGCGCCCAAGAAGCCGACAGATTTAGCCGCAGCCAAGGCGCCGTCTTCGCCTTTTTGCTGTTGCATTACCTGCCCCATCCCACAAGGCTCCATGCACGTATATAGTATATACTAAGCCCTTAAACCCAGAGACTCCAATATCCTACACCTTAAATTATTATCGGAACCCTAGTAAGATTTTAGGTATATTCCTGAATTAAGGGATATTGGAGTCTCGGAGAAGTACCTACAGCACAATCACTGTAAAGAAATGGTTGCAGAAGAAATGCAGCGGCCACGTCAGCCGGATAAAACCAAACAGCCGAAAATCTAACATGCCTTCTAGCTAAGAAATGAAGGGTACCCAACATGTTGAGTCATTTCCGATTTGGCTGGGTGGTTCGTTTCTGAGTATGGGTGTTCTCAAGCCCCGAAACCCCTGAAATAAGAAACACGGGGGCTACGTTTCTTGTTTCGGGTTGTTGTTAGGTCCTAACGCCAGGACATGGGGCAGAGGCCAGAACAAGAAATGCAGGGCCCTAAACCCCTAAACCCCTGAACCCTAAACCCCGAAACCCGAAACCCTAAACCCTAAACCCCTAAACCCTAAACCCTAAACCCTAAGGTATACTATTTGGACACATTGAGCCTTAGCGAGATGACTGAAGCCGAGGTATCCTTTTCCAACCCTGCACTCTCTCACCGTAGCACACGCGTCACCCTTGCACCCTAACTCACACCCTAAAACACCCCTAAACCCTAAACCCTAAACCCTAAACCCCAAACCCTAAACCCTAAACCCTAAACCCTAAACCCCAAACCCTAAACCCTAAACCCTAGACCCACCCACACTAACAGAAATGCAAGGCAAGGCACTTTCGCCATCTCCTCCCGCCTTCAGCCCATCGGACAAACCCAAGTGGAACAAGCAGAAGGATCCTGTAACGACCTCTACCCCTTACCCTCCAAGGGCTCATATGTTAAGGCTTTTGGGCCCAAAGACCCTATTATATAAGGCTTTTAGGCTATGTTGATGCTAAGGGTACTTAAAGGGTCATGGAACGCAGTAGCTTTTGAAAAAATTGAAGTAACTCTACTTATACTTACTTTTGCCACCGGTCAAGGGACTTATAACCATACTTACTAAGTCCCATGATCCTCCAAGTACACCCTGTTTCCGGGCCCTGAAGCGGCCCATGCTGTAAGCCACGATTCAGCTCTCTAAGTCGGAGTCTGTGGCCGGGGCTTATAGGCATTAGAGCTTCAATTCGCACCAATCTGCCCTTGCGATACTCTCATCTTCTTAGATTCTCATACTGTTGTTACGCTTACACTAATTACAGGGTCGGTGGTTAGGGCCTGGGCTTGAGGACTTTATTTCCGGTTATATCCGACAAGAACCCGCTATTCTGACACTCTTATATTCTAACAGTCTTCCCTGCGTCTATCCTATAAAACTTGGAATTCGCCTTCTCACATGCAACTAAACTGACGGAATCTTGAGTTGCCATCTAACTCAGAAAACTCGTACATACTCTTGTATTCGTACAGTCTTATTAATCACGCTTCTATTGACATAAACTGCGGTCCCAGGCACAGCCACTTTGTCTTCGGCCACCGGTCGTCAAAGGCGGAGCCACTGGGCTCGTTGCTGCGGCAGGCGACACATCCGGAGGGGAGCCTTGCCCATTCTTTTGGTGTTCGTTCGGTGTTTAGGCTGTTTAGGCTTTAGGATTTAGGGTTCGGTGTTGTTGGGGTTTAAGGTTTAGGATTTAGAGCTCTGTCTTTTGGGGTGTAGATGGGTTTAGCAAGGGTGGTATAGGAAGGTTCTGCGTTTAAGGCTGAAGTCAAGGCTTTAGGGTTCAGAGTTTAGGGCTTAGGCTCTGGGGGTTTAGCGATAGGCTTGCGGGCTCAGGGCCGTACGGGTGCGTGGTAAGGAAGGTTATAAAGCAAGTAGGATATGTAATTCGACCTCTCAGTGTCAGAACATGCAACCATGGGTTAGACCAGGTCCTTCCCGAAAGATCTTTAGGTCTAGGGCTCTCTATCGGGGGGAGAAACCCCAAGTGTCTGCACCCTTCAGCTTGGGATGCAGTATACCCCTGAGCCCCAAACCCCGGTGCTTGTATGTGGCTCTTTTGGATGGGAGTTGTCTTCCGTTCTACGAGGCTTCTAAGAAGTCATGGATCCGGGCCGTAGACTCAACCCTAAACCCTAAACCCTACACTGAATCCTACACCCTACACCCTAAACCCTAGACCCTAAACCCTAGACTTTTGCATGCCAACAGCAGGCCTCATCGAATCAAGGGATGGGCCCGAAACGCCAAGCCCTGAAAGCTGAACAACGGCTATCCTTTTAACGGTTAATATACGGAAATCGCAGTACAGAGCCCGAAAACAAGGTAGGTTTCATGGGGGAGACGGGTAAACCCTAAACTTCCTAAACCCTAGATAACCAAAGGTCTACATTACGCAGATAACAGGCCCAAGCACAGGCTTTGTCACTAGTTCGTGGGCACAGAAATGACCAAGGGGCTACATTGGCAAGGTAAAGAGGAGTGAAGAGAGGCAGAGAGGCAGTGAGGAATGAGAGGAAGGGAAAGAAAGGAAAGTACATGCACCGTTGTACAAGCTTGAACCTTGATGAAAGGTCCAGATGCACGAAGCGACAACACTCTGAATGCCCTACCAGACCAGTTCTTTGCCACTTCCTTCCCAAGCCTGGCGAATGCGATTTCAGGAAAATCCACACGACCGGATATCCGAACACCAGATATAAGCTTAAGCTGACTTAAGCTGCCATCGAAGCAAAGTGACGGCGATGATTCAAAGCGCCAATGCTTTCCTGGATACACCAACTTAAGTGCTCACAGAACACAGTAGTAGGCAGGTGATAAGCAAGGTCGTAAAATTAGTGTTTCTACAGCCCCATACCCCAAAACCCTAAACCCTATAAACCCCAACCCCTCAACACTATAATTAGACTTGAGGGCGCGGGTTTTAGAAGGGGGGGTTAAGAGTCGGAGCTTTAAAAGCCTTAAATAACAGACTAGGATAGGGTTTTGGGCTTTTGGTTTAAATGGGGTTCGGGAAGCAAAAAGAAGCGCTCCTGCCAGTTCTTCCAACCTCTATGTTCGATTTAGATAAGGGTTTGGGGTTTAGGGTTTAGGGTTTAGGGTTTAGATAAGGCTAATGCATGCGAGTCCAAGATTTTAGAGCTGATGGGGTTCTGGATCTAAGGTTGTGGCTGTACGGTCGTTTTACGTCACATTGTCTTGCCTTTTCCTGAAAAAGGGGATCGCTGGCAAGGGGCTTGGAGACCTCGATGCTCCTCGAACCTAAATCATCGGTTCGGCCTATACATCAAGCCTTGACTCAAGGTCAAAAGTCCATGACAAATAGTCATGTGCAAACACCTGCCTGCTTGCCTGAACGCAAAACATCACATCGCCATGACCTACATCGCCCTAAACCCTAAACCCTAAACCCAAAGGAAAACATCACATCGCCATGACTTACATAGGAAACCTCGACCGGCAACGTCATGCGCTGCTTAGCAAACGGTCAGGGGAAGGAGCATGGATGCATACGACGGGAGATTCTGAGGAGGCTCGGAAAGAGCTCATCTCACAGCCCAAAACCTGCCTGCAGCATGCTTACTGTAACCATGTGCACACATATATATATATAGAGAGAGTTATATATATATATTCATATATATATATATATATTCATATATAAATATACTCATGTCTTCATTTGTTTGTTTATTTGATTTTCATTTATTTGTTTATGCAAAACCCTACACCCTAAAACCCTAAATCCACCGTGGGGCATCCCAAGCCCCCCAGAACCGAGGCTCGGGCCCGCTTCATTCGGATCCGTGGGCTGTTCGGGCCAACTTCTGGAGAAGTACAACCTTTCAAGGGCTCTTAGGGGTTTGGGGTTCAGGGTTTCTGGAGGGTGTAGGGTTTAGGGTTTAGGATTTGGGGTTTAAGTGGGATGTTCACGGGCTTGGGGCTTGTTTCTGAAGGGTTCGGGATTCAGTGATTTGAAAGTTTTGGGATTCGGGTAATACTATGTGCTACGAATACCCAAAGCACAGAAGCAATTCCAAGCCCATAAACCCTAACCCTCAACCCTCAAACCCCATAACCCTAAACCCTAAACCCTCAAACCCCGAAGCCCTAAACCTTCTAACCCCTAACCCTCAACCCTAAACCCTCATATTTCCGAAGCCCTAAACCCTCAAATCCCTAAGCCCTAAGCCCTTTAACCCTTAACCAAACCCTAAACCCTAAACCCTCAGATCCCTAAGCTCTAAACCCTCTAACCCCTAAGCACAAAAGCAAATCTAGGCCCGTCTCTGAGAAGCTTCGGATCTTCTCCGGCAGCGATGCCGTGGAAGAGCGAAAAGGCTGAGTAGTCGCCTGGGGCATAAGGTTTTAGGTTTTTAGGCTTTTAGGGCTTTAGGCTTTTAGGGTTTAGGGTTTTAGGCTTAGGGTTTGGGGTATAGAATTTTTGGGTTTTGGGGCTTAGGGTTTAGGTTTTAGGGTCTAGGGCTTTAGGGCGTAGGTCTCAGGGTTTAGCTCTTCTTGCACGAATTTCAAGGTTGTTTAGAGGTCTATTGCTTGGCAACGGTCTGTCTGTCTCTCTGTCTGTCTGTCTGCCTGTCTGCCTGTCTGCCTATACATCCATTCATCTATCTATCTGTGCATCTATCTGTCTATCCATCTATCTGTCTTTCTGTCTGACTGTCAATCGTTCGATCTATTTACCTACTTATCTATCGCCCTCTATGTACATATGCTTTCTATACACTCCCCCCCACTCACGGCTTTGGACACCACGTGCCCGGTACACACAAGCATCTTGAGAACAATGCCCGAGTCCTTAAACCCTCACTCCCATCATACTGTTCATGGTACAATGCTGCATTACCTTAGGGACCCTAAGCTATCCAAATTACGGTATTTATATAGCTTATTTTGGGTAATGCAGGATGTATATCGTCCACTGTAGCGCTTCAGACACTGCACCTTTCAACTGAGACGTACACCCCTAAGCTCGAAAAGCTGAGCCCTAAACCTAATCTACCCATAGGCCCCTAAGTAGTTCCTTTTTGTGGTTCATAAATAGAAACCTATAAGGTAATCCCAAAAAGGAACTACTTAGGGGCCTATGGGTAACCACCCAGGCCACACCTCCATCTGGAGCATCGGGATGTTCCAACGCATGCCTGGGTTTTGTTTGAAAGATCCGGGGACTGATTCTGCGGGCGGGAATTGAGGTTATAGCCAGTATCCTCTTTGGGACCATCCCCAATTAAGATTTTACTTTCCGCCCTGCCTAGCTAGGCGTAGGAACCTGATTACGAACAAGAACCCTAATAAAGACCCAGGTTTGCCCAATCAGAGTCTGGTATTGCAGAAACCCCAAGCTCCAAACCCTCAGCTCTAAACCCAAAGCTCTGAGCTCTCAAGCCCAAACGCTAAACTCAAAACCCGAAACCCTAAACCCTAAACTCGAAACCCTAAACTCGAAGCTCTAAAGCCTACAAGGACATGAAAGGACACATGGATTTCGAATCCTCGGCTCTTGGGGCTTCACGGGGCTTAGGATGCCCAGCACTGGATTTTCGGTTTTGGGGTTTCAGGGTTTGGGGATTTAGGGTGTGGGGGTTTAGGGCTTAGCGGTTTAGGGGTTTAGGGATTTAGGTTTAGGGGTTTAGAGGTTTAGGGATTTAGGGGTTTAGGGATGTAAATGGTTTAGGGTTTAGGATTTAGGGGTTTAGGGGTCAAGGCAACCGTGAACAGCCCGAACTGTGTGCTTGGTGTATGTTATTTCGGGGTTGCTTTAGAGTCTCGGATAAATATTTCGTTCCTCAACTGCTGCCCACCTGAAACTCAAATCTAACATCCCTCAAGCATCAACTAAGAACCCAGAGACTCCAATATGCCTTAATTCAGGAATATGCCTTAAATCTTACTAGGGTTTCCATTATCAATATACGGTATGTTCCTTAATTATACACTTTTGGAATCTCTGGGAACTCCTAACCTGCCTGAACCCAATTCGCCGAAGATCTCTACCAAACCTCCGAGAAACGGTCCCGACATCTAACTTCCTGAAACCCTAAATCCACAGCCCCTACCTTTAAACTTTAAACCTTAAACCGAACAAGCGTGCCTTTCAACAGGTTTTCGACAGCGAAACCACGAGAAAGAGCCCTAGGAATGTCGGTTTCTTGGGGGCTTCAGAAGAACCCAAGCTCTGCAAGACCGTCCAACCCTCAGCCTGTGCATCTTTAAAGCCTACACCTATGGTTTTAGGGTTTAGGGGTGTAGGGTTTTGGGGTTTTGGGCTTTGGGGTTTAGGGGTTTAGTGGCTTAGGGTTCTGGGGTTGGGCCACCACAGCTATGTAGAGATGATGCACCAGGTATTTCAGCCTCCTATTACACCCTGCCTGCCTCTCAAACTCATGTTATCACTCTCCCAGATACTGACCTACATATAACTACCATCATCCACGAGTGCCGAATCATTGAGTCCTTCGGACCCTTAGGACAGGGTTCAGGCTTCAGGGCTACCTTAATCCGTCAACCCTAAAACCCTAAATCCGGAGATGAGGCTAAGCCGAGGCGCAGCACAAGTTGGCCACGCGACGGCTCAGCCTTTCCCTTGGGCCGCGGCACGTTGGACCTGTCAGGCGAAGGTTTACCAAGGAGCCTCCACTATCCCTTCATTAAGGAATGTACCTTAAATCTTAATTATTGGGGTTCCTATTACTATAAGTTTAAGGTATATTCCTTCATTAAGGGATATTGGAGTCTCTGGTTACCTAGAACCCTCAATCATCAAAACAAGTTTCCTTTAAGGGCTCCTTTTCCATGATACTATAGAGACGCTCTCTACGGGTACTACGGTTGATGACATAAATCCTGCATCTCCCATAATAAGGCATTTACCATAATTCCAATAGTTTAGGGTCCTTAAGTCCTTAACGTAATGCAGGATTTATATCAGCAACGGTAGTATACAAAAGCTTAGCATAATAGCTAGTTAGAACAGGAGTTATCTGGGACTTCCATGGTGCTGCCCGGCTACAGCCCTGCGGAGTGGAGACTCACGGCGGCGAGAACCTAAAACTTAAGCCCTGAACCCAAAGAAGGCTTCAAGTACTTTACTTTGCGGCAGAGTATAGTCAGCATAATAACTATACCAACAGGGAATCCTAAGGAATAGGACAGGAGTGATGCCTCAGGCTCCTGCAGTATAGTACACATGTCGCACCTGCTTGGGGGTCTAAAACCCCAGCCGTATACCTTAGCATCAAAATAGCCCAAAAGCCTTGTATGACAGGGTCGTTGGGTCCAAAGGCCTTAAAATATGAGTCCTTTGAGGGTAAGGGTATGCCATGATTGTGTTCTCTGCGGCTGCAGGGTAAGTCTCAACACAATTTCAGTGAACTTCAATATCCACAGGGGCCTCCGAGACCCTAAACCCCATAAACCCTTTGAGCAAAACTATATCATAGCTGAGTATTCTATCCCCAAAAAAATTAAGCCTTGAAGTTATAGAGGATTATGAAAGCCCCCTAAACCCTAAACCCTAAACCCAAAAAAGAAAAAGATTACCTACTGAGCCCCTCAGCAGGCGAACCCCAGCCTGGTGTTCGTTAGCGCCGCAATTGCTCCAGAGATCACCTGATTGCGACCTGACCTTTAGGGTTTAGGGTTTAGGGTTTAGGGTTTAGGGTTTTTTAGGGTTTAGGGACCGATTAAGAGTTGTTTTTTTTTTAAGTGTAATGGCCCTTTCTCCCGATTAAGAGTTTAGGGCTTGGGGTTTTACCTGGACCCTAAAGAACCTACCTTTTCAGGGTTCCTTAATTATGAGTTCCTTACAGAAGTCCTTGGACAAGTAGACCCTTCAGGGTCCATGCGTGTAAGGCTTACGGAGACGAATGTATTTTTTTGATGGGGGGGACGGGGGCGGGGTACATGTATTCATCCACGATAACGGGTTATGAGGTATGAACCCATGTATAGACAGTAAAACCAAAACAGTGCACAGTCCGTAGTTGGAGTCAGAGGCAGGACTATGAGCTGGCAACGCCACCACAAGGCATCTTGCTTCTGATCCAGGACACTCCGGAGCTGGGCTCTGCAATGCCCTAAACCCCTATAAACAAAAGCCCTGCAACCCGTGGATAATGGGTTGAGCGCTTGTGTACTGCACCTGACAGTGACTATTCTGACAGCTCGTCCCAACAAATACGCGTTTAAGGATTACATAAGCCGCCGTGCTAAGGCCTACTGCAGAGTGTACGAAAAACTGACAAAGTGCAGGTCTTTAGTAATTATCCGGAACCCGATATTACTCCTAAACCGCGTCGTCTGGAAGGCTGCAAAATCAAAGACATGCTAATAACCCTAAACCCTACACCCTAAACCCTATAGACCCTAAACCCTATAGACCCTAAACCCTAAACCGTGGCTTATGGCTTGGCAGAGCGTGGGGCTAGAAGCAAACGACAAGCCAGGAGAAACCCATACACAGCAAGCAAGCCACACACAAGCAGCCTAGATTCAGATAACCCTAAACCCTTATTATAGATCCTAAACCCCTATAAAACCCTAATAAACCCTTATAATCCCTAATAGACCCTAGCCATCATCCAAACAACATCGAGAGCATAGAACCCAAAGACCCCGCCCATTGTGAACAGCTAAGACCCACTAACCTTAAGTTTACATAAGCTTTAACGCTCAAACCTCGCATCATAAACTCTGCCAGCCTCAAGCCTCCATCTTCCTAACTCCCAAATCCTCAAACCCTCGAGCTCCAAATCCAAATCCCTAAACCCCTCAACCCTAAACCCTAAACCCCTCAAACCCCTCAACCCTACGCCCATCCAAGCCCGAAGCCCTTCACGCTGGCATCTTTTCCTGACGACTGCAATCTTGTTAAGGGATTTAAAGGCTTAGGGTTTAGGGGGTTAGGGTTTTTTTGTTAGGGTTTAGGGTTTAGGGTTTTAAGTTGCCATAATAAAGAAACCCCTTCCATTCAAGATAGAGTATGGTGACTTAAACTAAACTCCTTACCCTAAGGCTCCATATACCCATATAGTAGATACTTAGGCCTTAAAGTACCCATACAGGGAACCCTTTAAGGCCTAAGAATCTACTTGTAAGGTACATGGAGCCTTTGGGTTAGCAAGAACCCAGACGAGAGTCGTTCACGCCCAGGCAGGCACCGCCAGCTTCGCCATCGCGGGCGAAGACCAGACCTGGATAGGGCTTACCCATAGGCCCCTAAGTAGTTCCTTTTCGGGGTTGGGGTTTAGGGTTTAGGGTTTAGGGTGTAGGGTTTGGGTTTAGGGTTTAGGGCTTAGCCATAGGCCCCAAAGTAGTTCCTTTTTGGGATTACCTTATAGGATTCTAAATATGAACCACAAAAAGGGACTACTTAGGGGCCTATGGGTAGAGTGCAGGGCCCAGTTCAGGATTTAGGGCCTTAGGGTTGATTGTGTCGGGATTAGGACTTCGGGTTTAGAGTTGAACCCTGAATCTGAATACTAAAACTTACACCTTAGTTCAAAAGCCCAAACTCCACAAAGCTCTTGTGGCCCTACTGATTCTACACCTAGCCCAACCTGCTCTTCTTGCAGAATCCCTACACCTCTTACATTCAAGTGTCTACTAAGATCCCTACACGAGATAGATTCTTTAGTGGATTCTTGAGTGGCTGATCGCATGCAGCCATCGCCCAAAACACTGAAACCCGAGACCCCCAAACCAAACCCTAAACCTTTAACGGGTGCTGAAGAGAGTGCCGGAACCCTAAACCCTAAACCCTAGATCCCTAAACCCCGAACCCCAAACCCTAAACTTTAAACCCTAGATCCCTAAACCCCAAACCCGAAACCCCTAAACCCCTAACCCGAAACCCTAGATCCCGAAACCTTAAACCCTAAATCCCTAAACCCCCAAACCCCTAAAAAAAGCCCAGGGCGGACCCGCAAAGGAAGACCTGAGGGACGCGGTTTGGGTTTAGGGGTTTCGGGGTTAGGGGTTTAGGGTTTAGGGTTTAGGGTTTAGGGGTTTAGGGTTTAGGGCTTGGCGTTCCTTTATCGATCAGGTTCTACTAGAGTGGCCTCAAAAAGTACCGCCCCCAATCTTAAAACCCAGGCCCGAACCCTTGTAACCCTTGAATCCCAAACCATAAACCCTCAAAAATGTTGCACCCTAAACCCGCCGCAACTTATACCTTCTAACCTAAACACCTAAAGCCTGTATAGACCTTGAATCCATGAACCTTCTAACGAAAGGAGACCCTCAACCCTCAACCCTACAACCCTAAACCCTAAAACCCTAAACCCATAAAACCCTAAACCCCTAACCCTCAACCCCTAAACCCTCAACTCCTACACCCCTAAACCCCTAAACCCTAAACCCCTAAACCCCCAAACCTGATAAAACCCTGCAAAACCCTCTAAAACGCTACAACACCCTACAAAACCCTTAAAAAAAAACTGTAAAACCCTACAAAACCCTGGAAAACCCCATAGAAACCCAATAAAACCAAAAAAAAACTAAACTAAAGGAGCTTGGAAAGTCCTCCCTCTGGCGGCCTCTGTCATGTTCTTTGGTCTCCTCGGTTTCCCGATCCCAGGCTTCGTCCTTTGCAGGGCTTCGGGCATAGGATCTGTTGGGGTTTTAGGGTTTAGGGTTTTAGGGTCTATGGGGTTCAGGGTCTAGGGGTGTAGGGTGTAAGGGTTGAGGGTTTAGGGCTTCGGGCAGAGAATCTTTTAGGGTTTAGGGTTTAGGGTTTTAGGGTTTATGGGGTTCAGGGTCTAGGGGTGTAGGGTTTAAGGTTTTAGGGTTTAGGGCTTCGGGCATAGAATCTTTTGGGGTTTAGGGTTTAGGGCTTAGGGTTTAGGGTATAGAATTTTAGGGGTGTAGGGTTTAAGGCTTTAGGGTTTAGGGCATAGAATTTTGGGGCTTGCGGTTTGGGGTTTTGGGGATATAGGCTTAGGGATGTAGGGGTGTTTCGGCGCTTGGAAGTTATTTGGATTTGGGGTTTAGGGTTTAGCGCTTAGGGTCCGGTTTAGGGTTCGGTGGTATGAGGGTTCGGCGGCAACGCACAGGGCTTTACAAGGGTTTCTATGGTTCTATGCAGTTTCTGCCAGGGGTTCTGCTGGGGCTTGGGTTTAGGGTTTAAGGAACCCTCAACCCTAAACCCTGGGTGATGCTTTGCGTGTTGAGCAAATTAGGGCTGGAGGGGTTGAGAGACTGAAATTGAAAAGTTAAGCGCTACAGGTCGAAGGTTTAGGCCTTGAAGGATTGAATCTTGGGGTTTAAGGGTAAAGGATTGAATCTTGGGGTTTAAGAGTAAAGGATTGAATCTTGGGGTTTAAACTTTAAACCCTAGTTTTAGGGGTAAAGGATTGAATCTAAGGGTTTAGGGGTAAGCAAATCGAAACCCCAAAACTTCAATCCTGCAACTTTCATGCCAAAGAGCTCCCTAAACCCTTAACCCAAAGAGTACGCCGAAGAGCTCGGTTGTGCACGAGCACAAACGGGAACTCGGGATGGCCATGCAGCAGCACCGCGCAAATGCACATGTCTATAGGGTTTAGGGCTTAGGGCCTATAGGGTTTAGGGTCTATAGGGTCTATCGGGTTTAGGGTTTAGGGTCTTTAGGGTTTAGGGTGGATGCCCCACCCGTCTGTAAAGAGTGAGTACAACCGGCATCTACACGTACATATCTACATATACACACACATATATACAGATATGTTCATACACACAAACACGCTTTTTAACTTACCAACACCCCGGGGCTTCTAGACTTGTTGAGCTGAGGGTTGAGAGTGCTGGGGCTCTAATGCAACAGCTCGCTCAAAAACAGACCCGGACCTTTCAAAATCCCTGAATAAATGAATGTACCCTTAGTTATAGTACGTGTGATCTTCCAAAATCCCTAAATAAAGGAATGTATGTACCCTTGGTTGACGTAGGATCTCAAATATGATTTAAGGTAAAGGGATATGGAAGGCCTGTTGAGTCACTGTTGAGCACCTTTTGGGTGTGCTTGCGCGGACAGGTCTACGTAACATACATAGCCTACGAAACGAAACTTGGGATGAGGATGGGGTTAGGGGTTCAGGGGTTTAGGGGTTTAGGAATTTAGGATGGGGATTTCGAGGTGCTGTGTCCAGGCTCTCTATCCTTCGATCCGAAAAAAGTTCACGCCAGTCCCTAAGGGTCCATGTACCCAAACAGTAGATACTTTGGCCTTAACATAGTCCCTATATAGGTACTTTGGGGCCAAACACTAGCCCTTAAAACCCAAAGAGCCCAACACACCTTAACAAAGGAAATAGACCTAAAACCATAACATGAAGGCCCCTGTAATTTCAGGTATATTCCTTCATTGAGGGGTCTTGGGCTACTGGGTAGTTCAGTACCCCTTTATCCGAACCCATGAAGGAGCCTCTTGGGCCCTAGAGAGGTAGATTCTTTGGGGTCCCTTCATAATTAGAATAGGGGTTTGGGGCCGATTATACAATAATTGTAATAAGGACCCCCCCCCCCAAAAAAAAAAAAAATATATATATATATAATTATTGATGCCCCTATATTATACCTTAGATGATGGTAGGATCCCTAGTATGGCTCAAGGTATAATCCAGGAATCGATTTCATTAAAAAAAGCTCTTTGTAGGGTAAACCCTAGACCCTAAACCGCTCATAGGGTCTTTTCGGCTCGAGGGTGAGCCGGTGAGTCGGATGCAAGTGAGTTTACAAGCTAACTTTGAGGTTTAGGGTTTAGAATTTAGGATTTAAGGATTTGGTAAGTTTAGGGTTTAGGATTTAGGGTAGGTTTAGGGTTTAGGATTCAGGTATTACTTTTAGGCTTTTAGGGGGCTAAGTAGGTTTACAAGTTAAGGTAAACGGAATTAGACTAGCGTTCGGGGTTTAGGGTGTGGGGTTTGGGTTTAGGGTCCTCTGAACTACTGTTGATGATATGAATCCTGCATTACCTTAAGGACCCTAAACTATAGGAAATATGGCATGTTCCTTATTATGGGTCATGCAGGATTTATATCATCAACGCGTAGGCTAAATGTTAGGGTGTAGGGTTTAGGGTTTGTGCAAGTCCTAAACCCTCAATCTCGAAATGACAGACTCCGGGTGTAGGGCAGCGAAAGCTTTAAACCGGATATCCGGAGCTGTAGCGTGGAAGGGGTGCAAGTCTAAGCCCAAGATCTACATTGCTAGATGTACAGGCCGTAATAATCGGAACAGGGCTTTGGATATTGCGCGGCGTTTGGGGCTGCACTTATAGCCTAAAGCCCATAAACCGGAAAACCCCTAAACCCTAAAAAAAAAACCCTTAACTCTAAAAAGCCCTAGGCCCTAAACCCTAAACCCCTAACCCCAGCCTGAAGGACTAAGACCCACAGGCCTGAACCCCTTAAGACAAGCCGGCATGACTGGAGCATAACGTCCAGGATTCCTGTGATCGCCTCGTCCAACTGCACCTGCTCCCGGTTTTTCTTGTTTTTTATGAGGGCTTGCTCATAGTATCAAGTTATATATATGGTATTTCTCTGGTTTGTTTAATTAACTTAAGTTTCTTCTCGAGTGGTATGCTTTGGCCCTGACAAATCGTGCTTGATACTCTAGAGGGGCTTGGACTCCATATTCCCTACCTGGGGATCCCACAAACCTACCCGTTTTGAGGGTTCTACTCTCCGATTAAAGGCTTTAGGGTTTAAGTTTAGGATTTAGGGGTTTTTTGGAAGGTTTGGGGTCGCAGGTACATCAAAGCCCTAAGCCCTAAACCCTATTTGCATGCACAAGAAGATGGAGTACGGCATGCCGGGCTTCGGGGACTGGACCCTGATCTAAACTCCGGGGATCGTCGATGTGCTTATCATTACCTAAACCCCAAAACAACCTACCTCTTCAAGCCTAAACCCTAAACCCTAAACCGTCTTATATACAAAGAAACCGAAGTAAGGATCCCAAAACATGCAGGTTTCTTAGGGTCCAGGTACAAGTAGAACCCTAAACCCGAAACACCTATACCCTAACCCTTAGCATCAAAATAGCCCAAAAGCCATACATAGTAGGGTCTTTGGGCCCAAAAGTCTTAAAACATGAGTCCTTTGAGGGTAAGGGTAGGCCTAGGATGTAGGATGAGGCCAGGGCTTTGTAAAGGGAACTTCGTCCCAACCCCAACGTCCTCTCAGCAGCGACGGTTATCAAACCCTACCGGTGGCACAAAAGACCTGCCGTTGATGATACAAATCCTGCATTACCTTAAGGACCCTAAAATATGGAATGTACTGCATATTCCTTTTTATGGGTAATGCGGGATTTATATCATCAACGGAATCAAACCCCGAACTCTCAACCCTAACCTGTACCCTGCCCTAAACCTCAATCCAGAACCCGCCCCACCAAAAAAAAAAAAAAAACACTACAACCTCAACATGCCAAGCTTCATAAGCTCAACCCCGAAACAAGACTAAAACCCTCCAAAACTGCGAAGGCCTGGGTCCTAAACCCCTAAAGCCCCTAAAACCCCTAAACCCATAAAACCCCCATTTCCTCGGCCTTGGACCCTACCTGGATGCTAAGAAACCTACCTTTTTCGGGTTCCCTGTGATGATTTTGCCTTATGTAAGTCCTTCAAACGGTTCAGGCTATTTGGGGTTCAGGTATATCTGTAATCTCGGCTCGGCTTTAGCTCCAGGTTGCAGGAGCTTTTTTTAACGGGTTTAGAGCTTTAGGGCTCTATGGCTATTGTTAACAGTTCAGGGAAACTAAACCCTAAACCCTAAACCCACCGAGCACCCCCAAAGTCCTGGTCGATCGCTTTGCTCAGCCAGCCCCGGAGCTGTGCGTTCTCCTTCACACCGGGGAGCCTCGATCTCTGGGGGGAGTGGAAAAAAAGGGTTTAGGGTTTAAGATTTAGGGTTTAGGGTTTAGGGTTTGGGGTTTAAGGGTTTAGGGTTTAGGTCTAGGGTTGTGAGGTGAAAAGGGGAAGTGTCTTTAGTGTATCTAGATGGGTTCTGTGGCTTTAGTAAGTTTGGGGCTTTGTTTAGGGCTCCTTTAAGGGATCTATAAAGCCTCGTTAGGCTTGGTCTTTAGGGCTTTGCCTGGGATTTAGGCTTTAAGAGTCTTTTAGGATTCTTTAAAGCATGTCTACAAGGGTTCGATAAGGGTTCGTATGGGTTAGGTCATTTGCCTTACAAAAGTCATAGTAACTAAATATGGTTTAATTGCAGTGGACTCGTACAGGGACTGAAAGGGAAGCGCATTATTCATTTCTCGACACATACTCTGTAAAGCTTTCCCTTAGTACTTACAGGGTCCACGTGCACTTAGGCCTTGAACAGGCTCCTATGGTTCAGGGTTTAGGGTCTAGGGTTTAGGGAGCATCTACTATCTAGGCACACAGACTCTTCGGCTTTACGAAGGTTTGTACGGTCTCGCCAGGTTGTATTGGACTTGATAGCTTTGTCCTTCTTTTGACGACTCGTCCTAATGATCAGGGATAGCATACATCTACAGGGCTCTCGGCCACCTCCGGACTGCATGCCCAAATGTAGGGCATAAGGCTTAGCATCTCTTGGGGTTAGGGTGGAGGGCGAGTTCTGTAGGTTTTGGATCGTAGGATGTCTTGGCCCCTTCTGGTTTAGCGTTTAGGGTTTAGGGGTTTAGGGTATATAGAGCCACTGAGAAGACCTGCACTTGGTTGCAGGCTTACTGGGCTTACTGGTAGGCAAGCCGGACAGCTGGACTTATTCACGTATACAGCGAAGTTGATAAACACATGCACACGCAGCACACGAAAATTAGCATGCCACTAAACCCTAAACCCCAATTACTCGCGACGGGACACGATCAGTTTGCAGCCGTCCGGCCGCGGTATTCTGCTCGATCTCCTGTTGACTTGTGGTAGTCGTCTCTGCACGGCTGCTTGATACAGCTTTGCGGTGGTGACCCGTCGCGATTCAGGACCACTAGCTGGTCAGGTCGTCGGTTTATAGGGTTTTAAGGCTTAGCTCCTCCTCCAACTTTGCCTGCCAATCCCTGGATCTTACAGGAGCTTCTTGTGCACGGAGTCCGAGACTCCAATATCGCCTTCGCCCTTGAGCTTCTGCGCCTCTTGGTTCTTGTCCTGCAGGGAACTATTTACTGCGAACTAGTGCAGATTCAGACTGAAGCTTAACCTCGCGACCCCTAAAGCAAACACTAAACCCTAAACAGCAAACCCTATACCCTAAAACCCCTTCGGGGGTGTGTCGATTTACAACCCAAAAACCCTAAATTCCCTCAATCCCAAACGCACAACCCTAAACCTTCGTGGAACCCCCCCAAAAAAGCAGACCCGTATATATATATATATATATATGTATGTATATATATTTATACATACATACATACATACATACATACATACGTACGTACGTACATACATACATACATACATACGTACATACACACATACAGACATACATAAATACGTATACTCCATATGTGTGTGTGTATGTATGTATATATATATATATGTGTGTGTGTATATATATGTATATATATATATATA